CTCGGGTTTCCCGGAGTACTGGGTCGCGCCGGGAGAAGCCACCTGCCCGAGCGGGGTCACGGCTGGGGTCAGCGAGTTCTCAAAACTCCCACTTCCCCCTCGCTGAGGGGCTGGTAGGGAGAAGTAAATGCGGCGGCCGAGCGGCGGACGCAGGAGCGGAGCGGCGGGCTAGGCCCGCCCGCGGCCCCGCAACTCGGCCTCGAGGCACCGCGGCCGAACGCTGCAGGCCCGCTTCCTCTCCCGCCCGGCCTGCCGCTGCTCTGAGGCGGCACCCAAGTAAACCAAACGCTGATTGCTGGAATAACAAGGGCCGGCCTGGGAAAATGCGGTTACCAAAAAAAAAAAAAAAAAAACTGCTGCTGTTTGCCAAACTCCGGAGCGAGTGGTGCGCTGCGAAACAATAACCGAACCCGAGCCTTCTCACTAGACACACACGTCTAGATCCCGAGACACACACACATATGCTGCCCTGGTGCTGGCACGGACGCCATCACAGGGGAACCCCACCCAAACACGGAGAAATGTTCCCGCCAGTCGCACACTCTGAGGCCATTCCCATCCTCTGAGATCCACAACTGCAGCCGGCTCACAGCGACCAGACACTGGCACACAACTTCTTTACACAATTGCATTTCTACACCTTTATAAGCACTCTAATTACAGCCGCGCAGCTGCACGTTTTTGCCCTAACTCAATACAATCTAGATGCACAAGGAAAGCTGGACACCTTGACACTCACAATCTACACAACTAGCAGCGGCCTCTCCAGCCTCTAACTCACGCAGTTAGCACAATTAGCACCTACACATCCTGACTTAAATCCTGGCTCAGACACACAAACAACTGTTTCACAGACCTCACTGGTACACTCAGCCTCTACAAACCCACAAGCACAGGCTCTCCCTAACTCACATCCACACCCTTAGTCCGACTTGCAATTGCCCGCATGCGGGAAGCCTAGCCCAGATGCCCCCAGCCGCCGCACGGGGCCCCGGGCGAGGCCTCCGACCCGCCAGAGTCCCTCCCCAATCGGCCTGCGCGTCCGAGACTTCGTTCCCCGCGGCTCGAGGCGGGGACGGGGAGGAACCGAGGTTTACAAGGCCGCGCGCAGGCCCGAGCCCCCTTTCTGCCGGGCCCGCTTGGTGCGGCTCTCCGTCCGCCACAATCCGCCCCAAGCACAAAAGTGGCCCGGCAGGTTCCGGGCCGCCGCCAAAGCTCCCGCTCGGGCTGCGCTAGGCTGCCGGGAACAGAGTTGGAGCGACCTGGGGGCACCGGACACTCAGACAAGAGGCAGAAAGGAGTAAGTACCCGGAGGTCCGAAGCTCTTCCCACTTCAGGAGTTTCTGGTGCCTTGAACAGAGCCCCCCACCCCAACCCCTCCGCCCACGCCTACCTGGCCCTTTGCTGCGCTGAGGAACTGGACCCCAAATGAGACACGCACGCGGAACCCACGTGTACCTCTCAGGAAGGAGAATGTAGCCCGGGCACACTTGGGTTATACGTTCCGTTTCACTCTCTCAGGGAAATGCAAACTGAGAACCCAAGCCTCTCGGTCAGGCGAACGCACAGGGAAGGCCCACAAGTAATCAAGAAGGGAGTAGGTCATGGATCAAACGTGTAACCTACATCCCCATTCGGGGTAACAGGCAAGACACAAGGCAACAGGCGGGCAGTTCCATGTGTAGGGAGGAACGCAGAACCTGACCCTCGATGCCCATTGAACCCTGCCAGGGTCATCTAGGCCTGGCACCCATGTACCACGAGGGAGGACACAGACCTGCAGCACGCAGCTCCCACGCTTCCCTGCCCAAGGGGCTCCAGCCCAGCACGCGCGCACTGTGACGGGTACGCAGCCACAAGGCACACGCGCCCCGCACCCTGCCCCGCGCCCCGCGCCCAGATAGTCATCGTGGGATGGCATCTCGCAAATATTTATATTCCTCAGCGCCACGGCAGCCCGCGTCCACATTAGACGCTCTAATCCTGCCACTTTAAATAGATGAATTAATAAAGCAAACGAGCGGCTAATAAGCTGACTGTCCAGCCTTTTTGAGGCGGGGGAAGGACTCGAAAGTGCGCCAAATTTGTTTGCAGTGGATCAAGGCGAGCCGCCTCTGCTTCACTTTCTTTATCTTAATTCCGACTTGAAAAGATATAATTATCTAGTTTGAACAGAGCTGCTATCAAATCCTTCTTTGGGCCGGGAAGGGGGGCGTTGGAGTGGATTGCGGCTCTCTGAGCCGCTCCGTGCAGCCAGAGATAGCGCGTAATGAAGATGTGGCGGCCCGAGATACAAAGGGCATTAACCTCATTAGCATGAAACCTTTTCTTCTTACCATTGTGGGACCCTTTCAGCCGCCTAATCCCCCCTATTTTCAAAGCTTGGTTTGTAATAAAGCTTTTAGGTTTTTTTTTTCCAAAGCTAATAGTATTCTCTGATGATTTTATTGCTGTTACACTACATAGGACATTTACAAAAAAAAAAAAAAAATCACCCTCCCCCTTTTCTTTTACTTAAAAAAAAAGTATATGGTTCTTGCAGAAGTAAGCCTTTTATCAAGATGGGAAATTTTCTTCAGGAAAGGCTAGCCTGAATTTTAACAGGTCTGTGCTCTGTGTTTGAGGCATTCTGGGTTTGGTGAAGTGGGTAGAAGGAAAAGGTAACTTGCTTAAAAGAAAGAGGTGCAGCAATGCTGTAGCAGGGACTGCAAAACACTCGGGAGAGCTCTTGGTCACAGAGGTCCCGCTGTCCAAGTGACTGGAAACCCCACTTGAGTTTCCAGGATACACAGGACAGCACCTGTCCCTTCGAGAGGCAAGCCTGTGTCTCCTGAGGTGGCCCCCTCTCGCCCCAGCATCTTCGGGCAGTGGAGTCTCCCCGACTACACCCACACCTTCCCAAAGAGTCTGCGTGGAAATGTACCATAAACAGCCAGGGTTCTCCAGAGAAACAGAGAGGGAGAAAAAAGGAGAGAAGGGCAGAGATAAAGGGGAAAAAGAGGGAGAGAGGCCAAGAATGAATTCTACTTTCGAAGAGAGGAGGGGAGGGGAAAAAAAGAAAGAAAAATTTCCATAGTGCCCTATAGTCCCCACACGTGCATGGAATGTCTAATCTTAACTTTTCAAGGCAGGATGTTAACAAAGCTTGTATTTTCGCCCTGCATTGTAACTTGGCCTTATCACAGTGTAAAGGGTGGGGAGATTGTCCTAAATTATGTCCAGGCAGCCCCCCTGGATCCGTGGATTAAGAGATTAAAGGAGACCACTGGGCAAGGCCTCCTCTTTCCCCTTCATACTCCTGGTATGATAATTGCTTAAACTGATTTGCACTTTCACAAAAGCTCGCAGGACGCTTTGTAGCTTGAACAGAACAGACGAGGTTTCTCTATCAATGGAAATAAAACTGATTAATGCAGCCTATCAGGATAAGAAGCAAATGAAGCATGCAAAAACAACCTCGTACCCCCAGAAGGGGGAAGGGGGGGGGAGAAAAGCTAAGTTTCCTCCAAGACTGGGTACAACTTTTTCTTTAATGTTAAAATTGAGAGTTGAAGGTTTCTCAAAACGCTTGCCTTATAAGGCTGCTGAGGCCCTTGGGCTCATCCCCTCACCTTTGTCAGATTGGGGCCAGAGAGAGGAAGGAAGGAAGGAAGAAAGGAAGGAAGGGAGGGAGGGAGGGAGGGA